CTTTTCTTATATCTAATATTTAGGAAAGGTGAAAAGAATAGGAAAGGCCTTTGATAGATTTTGAGTTCGGGGGTAAGTTATGAAAAGGGAAGGTGTTAACACCCTTTTCATTCGTAGTTATCTACGGTCTCTTAATTGCTTACCTTACTTTTGAAAACATGCTTTGTGTGTGTGATTTGTTTCAAAATATTTTGAAAAGCCAATGTAAGGCTAACTTTGTATTGATTCTTGTATCAGTCCTTAAGAATGCGTACAAAGTGTTTTTGAAAATATTTGTTATTTTGAAAGTGATGTGTAAAAAATGTTTTGTTTGAGAGAAAAGTTGTGAGCAAGCAATTAGGAGTTTCTTACCCACTAAAGTCTTTCTTATTCTTTTCCTTCTCCTTTAGAGATAATACTATCCATACCATCAGTTGGTAGGTAGTCATATCTTTTGGATGCGAAGGGACATGCATAGGGTCAGCGAATGATCATCGAAGGCAACATGTAAGGATAGTTTAGAAATTATATCAGGGGGACTATCACCATTTACTCGTAGGGACCAGATCATTTTGTAGGCAAATCGAAGGGTCATTGAGGGATTATAATCTTTATTCGAAAGGGACGTGATGATTTGATTGAGGGTCGTTTGCTAAAGTATCCCCATTTTCGAGGGACGTGACCAATATTTCGTAAGGCAACAAGAGAGGATACCCTAGAGGTACAAGTGTGAAGAGTGTTTGTTTTCAGTTATTTATGTTGATAATTAGGGTTTTCTAGGTTCAATTATTAGTCTTTCCATACAAACCCTAGTTACTAGTAGTTAAATATGCACAGAAAAATAAAATGCAGAACGTAAAGTGCAGAAAATTAAACCTAAGCTATTACATCCTGTGAGCAGTTACATAATAGGAAAAAATGCCGAAAGTAAATCTACGCTATTATAATATTGAGAGTGTCCTATACACTTGATCTATAAAGATAAATAAAAGAAATAGGAAAATAGAAAAAGAATGTTAAAATGTTTTTTTATGATTTTTGTAGAAAATCATTTAAGTAATAATCATTAATAACCTAAATTCTAATTGATTTTAATATTTACAAAAGAAAGTTTATTAGTTAATCATTTTAGAGTTAAAAAAGAAAAAGAAAAGAAATTAGGTTAAAAGAAAATAGAGTAAAAATAAACTGCCTAGGGTGGGTGTTGAACCAACGCCCTCTTGGATTCACACTAAACTACTTGCCACTGGGCCAAGTGCCTGTTGATGTATGGAAATAGGAATTACAATATATATGAAACCTACGTTAGTTTGAAAAATAGCAAAAAAATATTGCAAGACGCATGGATCGAACCCACGCCCTTAACGTTACATGCCTTCACCTTAACCAACCGCGTTGCGCTTCCAATCTGTTATACAAATGAAACAAATAAATATATTATAAGCAGGTGGACCAGAGAGGCGCCGGGGCCCTAGCTCCGGTCGTCTTCTCCGGTGAGCTCGTTTCTCAACCTGTAAAAACAACATGCGTTAGAGAGTAATCCCCCTAAATCAACCCTTGTGAATCCAATGGTGGCATTATTTTTGGCTAATTTGATCTGTACAAGGAGATACGATGAAAATAAAGAAAAATAGTTCAATAATGGTGATGAATTATTATGGCATCATGGGCATGCAAAGGATCAAACCTGCACTATTTTGCCTCATGAACACATTGAAATTGTTAGTTTAGGTCAAATCCTCATAAAAATTAAAATATGAATTTCACAAATATGTAGAATTGGTGATGCATGGAATGCAGGTTTTAGGCCTCTTTGATCATCAAGAATGATCAAGACTTACTCTTTGATACCTCAGAGATTGATTGGAATGGATGGCTTACCTTGAGGATGGCTGAAAGTTGGATTTTGATTTCAACCTTTCTTTGCAAATTTCGGCCTCCAAATCCTTGTTCCTTGAGCAACTTTTTTTTTTGTGTTTTTGGTCTGAATATGATGAGTATATATAGTGGAAAAGATTAGGTTAAGAGATTGGCTTGGACATCATGTAAAACGTATCTTTTGATTTTGTTTTAAAATAGATTGAAATCATACAAAATCGTGAAGATTTGATTCAAGAATAGGTCTACACGTTTGTAGTGTGACCTTGGGCCTCCAAAAAAATCAGATCTCAAGCCTTTTATGCCTTACACCTTCACTTAATATTTATTTGATTTAATTTTGAATTTAAATAAATAAAAATCTAAATAAATGAAATAAAAATTAAGATGATGCATGAATGGACTTAGAGGTCCATTATGTGGTCAAAAACACGTTTGGACTTTAAAAGATAGGCCCATTGATCCAAAAATTCAAGTTTGCTCACATTGAACTTCATGCATTTTCTCAAAATTGCCCAATCTTGCACAAATCATATCTCACTCAATTTTCATCATATGAAGATGATCTTTGACTTTTTAGAAACCTCAAGATGGCCCCTATGAAACAACTGACTAAAAATCTTCGAATAATGAAGTCGCCATCGAACGTCTTTTATCCCACATGAAGGGAAATGTAAACATCGAGAAAACCTGGGAAGGGAGAAGTCACGGTCTTGCGACTGAGAGATCGGGTAAGGGAGTCTTTTATGCGAGGGAAAGGTATTAGCACCCCACACGCCTGTAGTACTCTAAGGTATCCACTCTTGTTGTCTATCTTATGGGTGTGTCTAAACTATGCTTACTGTTTACTACTACTAAAGGGAGAATGCATGCAAAAGAAAGGAGAAAAGAATGTAGGGAAAATAAAGTTGTACTCGCTTGGGCCCTACCCCAATGCCTACATATCCTTTTTGAGAAATCAGAGCTACCGTAGTTCGGCTCACATGTTTTTATTTGTTTTGTGTTTTTTATAATGTTAATTCTGCCTTTTGCTGCAGCTCAAACTTTGGAGACTCACGCGTTGGCACAAAAGTAAATTAATCATGTCCTTACCTGAAAAGGGTTTTGGAGAAAAGGTGCTTGAGCGCACAAAAAAGGTTTGAGTTGGTTTGTATTTTGTTACCTTGAAAAAGGGTTTAAGTGAGATTAGCATGTGTTATGATTTGCTAAGAAAAAGGTTTTAGTTTTAAATGCATATGCAAAAGGGGAGAAAAGAGTCTACGGGGGACTAGCCTATTTCTAAACCTAATATTATCATACAATGGTAGTCCTACGTCAAGGATGAAAGGGAAATGTCTACCTAATGTTAGCATGCATAGTTTGCAACCTAAGGTCTAACTTGCATCTGAAAGGAGAAAGCACATCCTAAGGGAACATGGTATGTACAGGGATAAAGCAAGCAAGCTCGAAAGAGCACACTCATAAAATAGTAAGGAAAAGAAGAGAAATGCTTTAGCCAAGGGGAGTGTATCACCCAAGACAAACAAGCGGAAGCGAGATGAAAAAACAAAAATGTGATGTCCAAAGCGACTGAACACCTAACCATGATATAGGAGATCGAGGTAAGCGACAAAAGACAATATGAACAATCACGGAGTATCAACATTGGCCAATGCGAACTTCTGACAAAGCATGGAGGTTCGATTGCGGAACCCTTCCGCACTTGACGAATCTATACACTAGAGCAAACACAACTCCAAAGCATTGTGGTTCATCACGAGCTAAGGATGACACAGACGAAATTGCGAGGGTTGATTACTAACCCTCCCCGCTTGCCTCCTTTTGAGGACTTCAATAAGGGACGGGGGAACAATGCGGGCACAAATGTAGACACACCTGCAAAATACCTACAAAAAGGTAGGGTTTTAAACAAACCACACACAAGTAGCAAATAGAATGCACACAACACGGAATTTCCCTAAACGGCTCTTTAAATAAACAAGAGGGGTTCCTAACATGATCAGCAACAGAGACCCCCATCATACATCTCTACCCTACTTCTCATGGCATCAAAAAGCGGTAAAGTCTACTTCTCAGGATTTCTAGAAAAGTAGTAAAAAAGTATGATAAAGTTCAAAAGTGAGGAATAAAATGAAGTTGCGATGATAATGAACGGAGAAGGTCCGTTGCCTCTTCATAACCATGCAAGCAATAAGAAAACTCTACTAAAATCTTACTCGAATTTACTTGATGTCAATTATGCTCTTGGATAGCTTTAGAGCTTCGTGAAATCTTCACCTAAATCTCTTTTATTTACCAATATCACAAAAATTAAATCACCAAAATTAATCGCAAGTGTGATTGAAACAAGTATTGAAAATAAAACATCTTGAGGGGCAAGACCAAATCCAAGATATGCTGCAAGCAAAAATAAGAATGCCACTAAGCCCAATATTACACTCAGCCCAATGAGGAGTTTTTTGTTCACAAACTTCAATTCCTCAAAAATATTACAATGGGCTTATGGAGGGTGTAAGGTCCGGTCCATGATGTTGTTATTCAACATAAGAAACAAATAATAATAAAAAATTTAAGCTAAAACAATTGAAAAAGGGATTAGGGTTATTGTGACGTTTGAACTTCCTCGTTCCTCTTCCTCTTTCTGCGAGCAAAGGAACGATATCATAGCTACTCTCTCCGCTGTCTTCTTCGTCGTAGTCCTCCTCTTCTTATCGTCACCTCCGCGACAAACCTCATCATTTAGACCTCTTCACAGCAACCGCTCAACCTTATTTTTCACTTTGATTCACAAATCCTCTGTCTCACCCTCGATCTAACTCTCCTCCGCACGTTCATTTTCACGATCTCCGTCGCGGCTTTACAGGAAGAAAAGGGGGGAGAAATCGATCCAATAGAGTGGAAGAGGTATGTTTCGCTTTTAGGTTCCTCTTCTCTGTATTTCTGTTTTCCTTCGCATTTTTTGACGCGCGTGTTCGTTGCTGTTACAGGTTCATTTTTGACACGCTTATTTGAAGTTCTACTGTGAATTTGACATTGATGTGCGGAAATAACTGCAGAGGTGATGAAGATAATTGACTGTTACGGATAATTTAGGTTGATGCGCAGAGATTGGAATCACGCATTCAAATCGATTTCCGAAGGTGATGCAGGTTTGTAAGGGTAAAGTAGAGGAAGTTGCAGAGAATGAAGGTGTTGGTGATGAAGATCAAGAAAGGTTGCAGGGATGAAGAGTTATATGTTTTGTGTTGTAGAGAAAGATGATGGAGAAATAGAAGGGATGCGTTTGATAATTATGTTGTAGATCAGAGAGAACCTGAAGGTGAAGAAGATGAAGATAATGATTGTAATGGCAAAAATCGCACGTGAATGAATATGGACGAAGGTCCTGAAGCTGGAAAATGGTGAGAATTGTGGATTGCATAGGAAATAGCAGGGAAAGGATGGTGTTTCAGAATGAAGGCTGAAGATGTTATGGAGATGATGCGTTGATGATGTTCTTGCAGCTTAAAGAGATTTTTTTGGTGAATTCGGTAATGTTAAAGGTTGTGTATAAATGATGAAGATGATGATAGGTTAGGCGATTTGCCAAGAGATAGAGCATGAAAATTCAAGAACTTTAAAGAGAAAGTGTCGAGATTTCCCAGAGAATGTTAACAGATGAAAGAATATTATAGGTGAGTTTTTTCTGTGTTTTTACTCTGAATTTCGGTTGTATCAATCGTCTCTCCCTTCCTTTTCTGTCATGAATTTTGCTCTTCTTCTCCTTTTCTTCTGTTATTTGTTTGCTTTCATTTGAATACCTTTTCTTTTGAAGTCTGTTTTGTTAGGAGATGTTAGGATGTTAGAGAGTTGGTTACGGATTTGGGAATTCTATTATGCTGAGCTGGCATTGATTAGAAGTTAGCTATACAATGTGAATCGGTTAGGGGCTGTTAGTTATAGTTTGTTGTAAAACTGAAATTCTGTTAGAAGGAATAAAATGGTGAGGGTGGGAGATTAGAAGACAACTAGCTATAAAGTTTCTGTTAAATTGGTTTTCGGTTATGGATTTTGAATGTGTTATATATTGAATGCCCATGTCTGAGTTTAACTTCCTGTTGGTGAATGAACACGTTGTAGCTATTAGATGTTTGATTTAGCCTTGATCTTGCTTGCATGCTTGAGAATGTCTTGAAACTTGTTGCATAACCGGATTGTATTTGATTGTTTACATCTGTTTCTGTTATTAGTGAACTTATTTTCAATCAGATTTTTGATTTGCAGGGCTACAGGTTTTTGTTTATATATGGATACGAGGTCTGGTTCTTGCAATGAGCAATATGAAGGATGGCATTGAAGTCCATTAGCAAGACACTGTTGGAAGATAAGGTACAAGGCATTTGGTGTGAAGTTAGAAGCATGACATTTGGTGGTGAGGATGGACATAGAGATGGATCCGTATGGCATGTCTTGACATTCGGTTAGGGCTTGAAACATGGAGGATGACCGGGATTAGAATAGGTTCTAATTGTTGTGTAAAGTTTCATGTGTGTAATGGTATATATGTTGGAAATTGTATTATAAATTATAGTGAGGTTATGGTACTTTGTAACGGCTAGTAATTACTTCTCCTTCATGTAATACCTCGAATCGAATGATATTTGGAAGTTGGACGAACTTGCATACTCAAAGATGATTGATTATCTTTTGACAGAGCTTTGCTGGTAAATTGTCATGTGAATGGACTTAAATATTTTAAAATTGCGAGTCATGTACAATGATGTTAGATGATGGACGAAATGGTGGGAAATTGCTTGAATCCCTAAGTGGATTTCGATGAACTCTGAAGGATGGTTAAAGATCTTGAATTTGGTATTTTGATGATTATTTTTAAATGAACTTTGGCATCTTTGAATAATGCTTGAATAACCTTGAACTTGTATACCCCATTACTTAAATCTTAAGAAATTCAAATGCATTTCCTTTCCAACCTTACAAACCTCCAACAACTTTGATGAATTGAACCATGTTTGAATCCATGGAATCGTTTAAATCCACTTCGACCTTAATCCAATATTAACTCGCATGACAAGAAACAAACAATTTGAAAGAATGACGCCTGGATTACAATCCGCATCTTGTACCATGTCTTGTTTGTATGAGCAATTACAATATCTTGGATCCTTGAAGAAAATATTCAAGATGACTTTGACCTTAAACCCTAGCTGACATAGTCTTTACTTAAACCTTTAGTGAAACCCTAATGATCCTGCCCTTGATGAAGATGACAACCTTGTAGCTTATGAGAAAAAGAAGTTCTCAATGATCAAGAATCCAAACCCTAGCACCACAAACCACAATTAATGAGAAACCAATTGATTCAAGCCTGAATGAAGATAAGAGTCTAAAAGCATATACAAAACCCTAACTTCAAGATCCATGTTCCCATGCCAAATTTACTAATTGATGATGCATGATGTGTTAAATGACCTAATGGAGGGTATGCAGATGGAATGATAAGCGCAAAATGTATAAGCCAGATAAAAGTGAAAGGGTGGGACAAATTTGGGGTATTACACCCTACAATCTTTATGTTGATCATTTTTTCATTTGAGGACTTTAACTTGATATAAATTGTTTTGACAAAAAGTGTCTTTTTGTTGACTTTTAAAATGACTTGTAATGTTTTGGCTCATATCTCTCAAATGAAGCATTTTTAGCCTTGAGATTAGAGAGACAAAGTTGTAGAGAATTGTAATTCCATCAAAATGGGCTTTGGTTGAGAATTTTCCGATGACTTCTCCTTAAGAAAACCCTAATTTAGTAACTTTTGACTTTTTATAAATCTTGAGTTTTCTTGATGAATCATGATCAAACCTTGATCAAATGATGAATGTGACTTCAACATGTTGATTTTGACCAAAAATCTTGAAGTTTGACTATAAATTGGTCAAAGTTGACTTTTTGTCCAATATAGTTGATTTTCAATTATCTAACTAATTGACTGAGCAAACTTGTGCAACAATGCTTGAAATTTGGCATGAGGACTCTTTGAAGTATATGAGTAACCATGAAATCCACTAGAGGCATTATAAGTCCAATTTTCTTTGAGAAAAGCAAAACCCTAGTTTAGGTCAATACTTAGGAGGAGGGTTTGTCTGGTCAACTCTTGAGTAGTCTTGAGTGTTTAGGACCTTCATATGCATGAGGAAGTATCTTGAATTAATTTGTTTTGAAAAATGGGAGGGAAAATTTTGGGGTACAACAACTGCCCTTGTTCAATCTTCTTAAACCTGAAGAGTTAGATTGACATGTCCGCCATTCGTGATCTGAAGGTGGGAGAGGATTGAACACTTAAGTGCCCAGAAATTTACACTCACATATACCCAAAGTAACACTGTTTGTTGATTATATTGTTTAATAGGCTTAAAGATACCATTCATAGAGATGATAGAGTGTCATCTGAGATGGGCTTATAGATGCCATCCAAAATATATGTTGATAGGAGTATCAGAATGAGTCTATGCTTGACCTTATCTGAAGAATGTTTTTCAGAAAATCTCTGAAGATATGCTTTTCAGAATGAAATTCTAAAGGAAATGCTTTTCAGTATGAATCTCTAAAGCAAATACTTTTTAGAATGAAGATCTGAAGGAAATGCTTTTCAGAATGAAGATCTGAAGGAAATGCTTTTCAGAATGAAGATTTGAAGGAAATGCTTTTCAGAACGAAGATCTGAAGGAGCTTTTCAGAATGAAGATCTGAAGGAAATGCTTTTCAAAATGAAGATCTGAAGTAAATGCTTTTCAGAATGAAGATCTGAAGGAAATGCTTTTCGAATTGAAGATCTGAAGGAAATGATTTTCAGAATGAAGATTTGAAAGAAATTCTTTTCAGAATGAAGATCTGAAGGAAATGCTTTTCAGAATGAAGATTTGAAGGAAATGCTTTTCAGAATGAAGATTTGAAGGAAATGCTTTTTAGAATGAAGATCTGAAGGAAAGCTTTTCAGAATGAAGATCTGAAGGAAATGCTTTTCAGAATGAAGATATGAAGGAAATGCTTTTAAGAATAAAGATCTGAAGGAAATGCTTTTAAGAATGAAGATCTGAAGGAAATTCTTTTTAGAATGAAGATCTGAAGGAAGTGCTTTTCAGAATGAAGATCTGAAGGAAATTCTTTTCAGAATGAAGATCTGAAGGAAATCATCTGGTCATGTAGATAGTCGCCTCATCTTGTTTCAGGAATTGATCTACAACCTGTCTCTAAATTGCTGATAATATTCGTCTATTTGCGAACTTAACCTGAAAAGACAAAGCCAGTTCTATGTAATGTCATGATGCACGAAATGTACTTTGTAATGATGCTCTCAAAATAAATGAGAATAGTATATGCGTTTTTGTATGCATATGTTATGATATTTCGTGAATGATGTATGGATGTGATATGTCGTCGGAGCGTATCGCTATCTTCGTGTAATAATATCTGGTTGGGGAAAATAAATCCCAGACTGTTGTTGGGGATGAAGACAATAGTTCTTCAACTTTCTTTAGAAAGTCTTCACTGGGGATTTCTACTTTTTGTTTAAGGACATTCCGCTAGGGATCTTCGACTTCTGCTTGGAGATAGAAGCATTTAAAGGGAGTCGGTCATTCGTTGTTTTTTTGAAGGATTTGATTCTTATATACCCCGAATGGGGTTAAAAGAGATGGATAATCCTTTGATGTGGTATTTGACCAAGTTTCAAATATGAGTATTAGCTCTTCTGGGGAGGACAACTTTGAATGATATTTGGCCAGAGAAGAGAATCTTGTCGAGGAATTGCAATATTGGAGAAATAAACTCTGTTGGGGGGAAACATAACATGTAGACTGTGTTGAGGAAATAAACTTTGATGGGGATTAGCTTATGAAAATAGCTATGAGGAGATTGCTCTATGGGAATTTATGGTTAACTTGAGCATTATCCCGACTCCTAGAGTCTTTAGTAAATGTTAATCCTATTTTCATGCATATATTTGTAAACATTAATCATATTCAAATGCATATGTTCATTCAATGTAATCATTGGACATTTTTGAAAACAAAACAGAGAAAGTAAAAAACAATTTTGAATTCTGAACTATATTTGCATTGATTTTGAAAAGTTTGCCTATAAATAGACAATTTTACAAGGAGACAGAATCCTAGTAAAAGGAAATTGTCGTAAAAGGAAAAAGGGTACAAACTGAAACAAAGAAAAAATAGTTATGTGGAAACGACCCCATCGAGTTTCAACTCTGTTATTGCCCATATGTCTTCAATCATCTCATCCCTTGTTGTCGGAAGAAGTTGATTGAATTGATATGTACCATTTAAACTTGACGTTAGTAATTATGCTGGCTGTAAGTAGATGGGTGATCCAACGAGACATAGTCGTATGATTTAATCCCTAACTTTTGCTTGGACCTCCCTTTCTGGTTTTCAGTCTATCGGGAAATCCTTTTTTCCCTAATCCACCCTTTCAGGTTTTCGACTTGCCAGATGTAAAATTTATATATATATATATATATATATATATATATATATATATATATATATATATATATATATATATATATATATATATATATATATATATATATATATATATCCCTAATTTTTTCCCGAACCCTTTTGGTTCAACGGGATGCCCTTATTTTGCCTAGGCCAGTCAACCTAGCGGGTCTCTTTTATGTGTAGTATTTTTTGACTATGCTTGTGTTCACAGGGTGTGGAAAATCTTCACCATCCATGGTGGTATCATGGCACCGCCAGAAAATATCTTTTTGATCACAAATGGCCCTTCGTACGTGGGAGTCCATTTTCCCCTGGGATCACCTTGCAGTAGGATGGTGCGCTTTATTACCAAATCTCAAGCCCGATACACTTGATGCTCGACTTCCTTGTTAAAGGCCTTGATCATGCATTTCTGATACATCTGACCATGACAAACAGTTGCGAGCCTTTTTTCATCAATCAAATTTATCTGGTCGAGTCTAGTCTAAATCCATTCGTCTTTATCTAAACCTACATATTTCATAATCCTTAAGGAAGGAATCTGGACTTCGACAGGTAAGACATCCTCTATAACATAGACTAGAGAGAACGGGGTTGCCCCAGTTGATGTACGTATTGAAGTGAGATAATCATCAAGAGCAAATGGTACCATCTCATGCTAGTCTTTGTATGTCACCGTCATCTTCTGCAAGGTTTTCTTGATGTTTTTGTTGGCGGCTTCCACCGTGCCATTCATCTTTGGTCGGTAGAAAGAAGAGTTGTGGTGCTTAATCTTGAATTACATGTAGAGTCCTGTGATCATAGTATTCTTAAGATTAATACCATTTTCTGTAATGATCCTTTCAGGGATGCCATACCGACAAATAAGGTTATGCTTAATGAACCGAGCCACAACATTCTTGATAATAGAGGAAAACAAGGTTACTTCCACCCACTTTGTGAAGTAAA